TATACTCATTTATTTATTTTTCTGCTTATCGATTAGCTTGTAATATCAAATATAACTAAAAGTTTATTTAGGATTAAAAGTTTTAAAGTAATATAAATATGAAGAAAAATACAAGAATTATTTGCACAAGTTCAGATAGAATTTAGCTGAGGCATGAATCCTTGAATTTGAAAAGAGTTTATGTTTTATTGTTGGTAGGGAAAGATTATAGGATAAATCCTCTTCAATCACATTATTTAAGATCTTAACTAATAAAAATCACCTATTTCATATATTTTAATATTACCAATAAAATAAGATTAAAAATGAAGTAAATGATTTTAATAGATATAATAAGACCATAATTGATCATAGAAAAGGATTCATGATATAAATTTTCTTTTGATAGGTGTGGTGTATTAATATCATGGCATCCACTTATTTACTTGTGAAGATCAACCTAACATCTATTGCACCATGTAAGAGGTGAAATAATATACCACTTTTTATGAGAATTGATTGAATCCTAAACGTTGAGTCCAATGACTTAACAATAAGTGGTAAGCCATTGCAACACATCAGCTCTTCGTACCTTGATCATGGGGTCTTGAGGATGATGATTTCTGAAGAGAAAAACCCATTACCACAGTAATACACCAGAGACAAGAACAATATCGGGCTAACCTACACCGGTTTCGAGTCCGCACCGTTCACTCAAAACACAACCATCCATGGTCTAGGATTGTCCCAATAACAACCATTCCATCTTACCATATTTTTTTTATCATTCTAATACTCAAAACAACTTCTCATTAGATATCAAACTTTATACTACTCAACGTTTGATTTGATTATTCAAACGGCATAGACCATAAGGAAATTGCGTATATTGATGCTATTTCAAAAGAAAAGTAAATGGAGCTGAGAACATGATTTATTGATACAGAAACGCATACAAAGGTGTGGATACATTATTTTGCTATACCTCAATTTAATGTCTTTTTTACTGGCTAGAATGCACTGCAATCTACACCAATATTTTTAAGACCTTACATCAATGTGAAGCACAATTTACATCTCAAATCAAAACAGAAACAACTACCAACGCCGTCACTGAACATTGAAACTTAATTGACACATTACCAAAGTGCAATCTTCAGAATACCTCCAAGCTCAACCGAACAAAAGATTACAATAATTTCCAAACATTAACATCAAAACGAATGACAAAAACACTCAAATATCATTGTTCCACCCGTACATAATCTATTCTTCTTATATTTTATTATACTCTACCCATGCAAGTCCAATATTCTTCACATCAAAGTAATCTAGAACTACATAAAAGTTATATGTTACAACTATCTTTTATATCTTTCGATTTATACATATCTAATACTCTAGGCTACTTTATGTTATCTTCGTTCCAAACATCATATAAAAATGATAATATATTAATTTTAAAATATTTATCATTTTTTTATTATTATCAATATTTAATATCATGTAGTGATATTCTATTCTAATCTTTTTGAAGTCTATGTCATCGGAAACACAGACCTATACCATTATATTAAAAAAACTACCCCTATTAAAATTAAATTAATAAATATAATCTTTCCCACACCTCCCATCCCATGCCAACCACAACTCCAATTCTGAAATTTGACTTTCAGAGCAGAAATCTTACCTAATATCTTCGTAACATAATAGGTAGATTTGAACCCGAAAATGAATTGCATACTTCGTCCCCAATGCTCCTCTATTTCAGAATCTGCGTTCAAATTCACCAAATACATCTTCCGAATCAAAACAGGTAACCGGTCAAACAATTGTAACCAAATCAGCAACTGATAGTCAAGACCCAGTTTTTCTCTTCAGCATCTAAAAGTGCGACTTTTAGAGTTTACTTAGACTGCGAGGTAAGGAAAGAGAGTGAACGCCAAGTGATTAAGAAAGAGGCTAGGTTTTTGTTTTTGTTTTTGTTGATATTGTTGATAAGAGTAGGGGCTAGGGTTTGAAATGTGATATTTATACGAAAAAGGTTATAAGAACAAGTGCAATTATAATTTTAAATAGAATAAAGTATAAAATCACACAAATAATTGGGCGACTAAAAACATAGTTTACCAATTTATTTATTTTATTTTTTATTCTGCTTATCGATTAACTTGTAATAACAAGTATAACTAAAAGTTTTAAATTAATATAATTATAAAGAAAAATACAAGAATTATTTGCATAAATTCAAATAGAGTTGAGCTGAGGCATGAATCCATGGATTTGAAAAGCTTTTAAAGCTTTATTGTTGGTAGGGAAAAGATTATATGATAAATTTTTCTCAATCACATTATTTATGGTCTTAACAGATAAAAATTATTTATTTTATCATCTTTTAATATTATCAATAAATTAATATATTATATTTTTTACCAACAATCAATTGGTCTAGTAGAATAAGACACTAGGTCCCTTAAACAAAGTCAGGGGTTCAAATCCTAACATTTGCAAATAGAACAAACTAAATTGGGAAAGTCGCCCTCTCCCCTGCAATACCCGAATTGAATTAATCAATCAATAGATCAATACCAATGATTAATTCAAAATAAATAATAATACTTTTTAATTAATTTAAATGTGATTACAAGAGGTAGTATTTGTTTGAAAAATTCCTAACCCATTTGACAATGAATTCTCAAACACTCCTAATATCCAATATGCTCGAACTTGAGATCTCTAGGTTAACAATTATTCCTTTAACCAGTGTAACAATTTGATTCGTGCATCAATAAAATAACATTAAAAATGAAACGAATGGTTTTCTTATAGATGCTATAAGACCATAGTTGATATAATAGAAAGGGATTCATGATATAAATTTTCTTCTGGCAGGTTAATATCATGGTATCCACTTATTTAGTTGTGAATATCAACCCAACATTTCTTGCACCACGTAAGAGGTGAAATAATATACCACTTTTATGAGAATTGATTCCTAAACGTCGACTCCAAATACGTAACGATAAGTGGTAAGCCATTGCAACACATTAGCTCTTCTTACCATAAGCATGGGATCTTGAGGCTGATGATTTCTGAAGAGAAAATTCCATTACCACAGTCATATACGGGAGATTCGAGCAATACCAGACCGATCTGCACCGGTTTTGAGTCCGCATCGTTCACCCGAAACAGAACAATCCATGATCTAGGACTGTCGCAATATTAACCATTCACGTGTTTTTATCATTCCAATACTCAAAACTTCTCGTTAGATATCAAACTTTATACTCCATAACGTTTGATTTGATTATTCAAATGTCATAGACCATAAAGAAATTGTGTAAATTCAGGAACATTTACAAATATGAATGTATTCATATTTACAGGCTAGAATGCACTGTATTGTACAACAATATTTTTAAGACCTTACACTCATGTGAAGCACAATTTCCATCTCAAATCAAAATAGAAACAGACCAAAACTTCATCAACCCATTGCCAAGTTCCAACACCTCCCAATTCAACCATTAAAAAAATTACAAACATTTTCAAACATCACCATCAAAACGATGATAAAATCACTCATATATCATTGTTTAATCCATCCATAGTCTATTCCTCTCATTTTCTATTATATTCTGTCCATACATCATATATTACCCTTCAACCGACTAAGATTATCCTATTTATTGAGACATGACTTCTCATTCTGGATGTTGAGACCATCTTTCAATCTATTCATCTATTATTATTATTTTATTACCATTTTCTATTATCTTCATTCTAAACATATCTATTCTGTTAATTATATTTGTTTTAGACATCGTAAAATGAATATTATAACTAATTTTACAATATTTATCATTTTTTATTATTAAAACTATTTGATATTATTGTTCTAATATTTTTCTAAATTTGTGAGATCTATGTCTTCAGAAACACACACCCATATCATTATATTAAAAAGATTAAAACTATTAAATACTAATTTAACAAATAAAATCTTTCCCACACCTCCAATTCCACAACAACCACACCTCCTATTCTGAAATTTGACTTTCAAATCAGAAATCTTATCTAATATCTTCGTAACATAAAAGGTAGATTTGAACTTGAAAACGAATTGCATACCTAATCTCCAATGCTCTTTTATTTCAGAATCTGCGTTCAAAATCATCAAAGACATCTTCTGCATCAAAACAGGTTATCGGGCAACAATTGTAGCCAAATCAGCAACTGATAGTCAAGACCCAATTTTTTCTTCAGCATCTAAAAGTGCGACTTTTTAGAGTTTACTTGAATGCAAGGGAAGGAAAGAGACTGAAAGTGAAGTGAACGGAGGCTAGGAATTTATTTTGTTGTAGCAGTAGGGTTTAAATGTGATATTTATACGAAAGGTTAGTATAAACTACACGGATGACCATTAACTTATTGTATATTTTTATTTTGATCATCTTATTTTGATTTGATCAATTAACCCATCAAACTATTTAAATGTTTTAATTACTTATTTTCTGTTAACTTTTAATGGAGGAGATTATGTTACAGTTAAAAAACTTAGTATAATTTCATATTTGGTTTTCAATATTTATATATTCTATCAGTTTGATCATAATTTAATTTAATCAAAATAAATTTGATTCTCAATTGGATGTTGACACATGTCACTACTTGATTAGAGGATATGTTCTTAATTTTTATTTATTTAGTAAAAGATTTTTTCATCCAATAAGGTGGTAATTATATTCAAAGTGATAATTAGACAATTAAACACATAATTTACCATAATTATAATTAAAACCAATTATTATAAAATACGATAAAATTGATAATAGAAATAAATCATTTAATAATTTTTTTTATTATAAAATAACGTTTTGTTAAGCCCTGTTCTTAGGCCGAGCTAAGCCATTAGACCCAAAGCAAAGCCCATCGCATACAGAATTTGATATTATCACTATTGCCCCTTTGCACGATAAATACAGAGAATCCCCACAATGCAGAGTCCACGAAACAAAGAATTCAAAATTTGAATTTGAACCGGAGATTCGAGCATGGCAAGAACATCCACCAACATGAGGGGCTTTTACAGGCAGAAGAAGAAGAACCACACCACCACCGCTACGGGATGCATCACCAAATCAAAATCAACCAAAACCCCATCTTTTGTTTCCGATATCACCCAAACTCCAGCCCTCCATACCAGAGGTCATTTTCCCTTTTTTCTTTCTTTTGTTCTAATCGGAATGTTTATTCATTAAAACTGAATACTATTGTTTTTGCTTTTCAATGGGAGCAGATGATTTCTGTGACGAGGAACGAGCCTTGAGGGAATTTGATATGAACATGGCATATGGACCGTGCCTTGGGATAACGCGGCTGGCTCGTTGGGAAAGAGCTCAGAGGTTGGGGCTGGACCCTCCTAAAGAAATCCATTGCCTTTTGAAAGGTGGGGATGTGAAGCTAGAGTGTTTCCTTGATGGTCGTGTTTAGTTAGTTTAGTAGTGCTGCATTTTGCTCAACTTGGAATCGATGTACAGCCTCTGGCTGTTCTTGTTCTTGGATGTTTTCTGACTCTCTTTTTTTTATCAAGGATCTGGAAAGTTAATAAGTTGGAGTTTGCCTTGGATTATAATATATTGAAATGATATTTTTTTATCATGTTATTTAGATTTAGGCATGGAATACTTAATATGATCAAACAATTTGTAATTTATAATCCAGTTCTACTGGTATTGAACCTTGCTTTAAATTGTGATTTTTTTTATTGAAACAACTGTCGTTAGATAATGGTAATGATATTATCCGAGACCCTGATCGCAATATCTCTAATAATTACAATAACATCCGTTGTGTACAAAATTATAATTAACACAACAAAAGATACGACCGCAATTGTAATTAGAAATTTTAGTAAAAATGTATGTATTCAATCGCAACTTTCAAAACAGAATCTTGCTCGCTTCAGCTGAAGTTAATCCGTCCCTCGCTGCTGAAACTGTTGTCCTACTCAATACCTTCGCGCGATGGAGGCTTAGTGGGTGCGTTTGAAGGCTTCCTGAAAGAGATTTAGAGTTCGCCAAATTGATTTTGGGGAAGATTTGAGAAATTATTGTAAAATTGATTTCTTTTAAGTTGAAATATTAAAGAAGTACGCCATATATTAATTTTATATAAATTATAATTAAAGTTTAAGAGTAGTTTTGGGGTTAAAGCATTAGATTATAAGAAGTTTATCCATTTGTGTTTGTGTTTACGTATTAAATTGATAATCTTTTTTTAAAAAATTAAATTTATTAAATAATAAAATTCAATCTTAATTATAAAATAAGTGTTCAAACTATAGCGTTTTTCACAAATATGTGCATAAACTTATTTTTGAATGATCTGGGTACCTAACATTACAAACATTACCATTTTAGGTGTCTGGTTGTAAACACCGTTAATTTTCTCCGTTAATTATGTCATATTTTGGTAATTTTAAAAATTTTATTTAAAATTTTAAAAAATATATATATATTTTTAAAAATTTTGAAATATCCCAAAAACTTTGAAAACCCTCATTTCAACTCATAAGCACATGTTGACTACCGCCTTTTGCCGTCGACGAAACTCCATCCGACCTCACCTCTCCCAACAATCAATAACCCTATGAAACTACGATCAATTGACGTTTTGTATCCCGTAAACCCTAGGATGAAAAATCATGACTCCACGCGAACCCGACGTCCAATTGGTGACAACTAAGATAACGTATGACTAAGAAGATAGCAGTGACTATATTGGTGACGATGGTCATGACCAACAATGGCGACATCAATGAGTTAAGGTTATGAATTTGATTTTTTATATAATTTAAGAGAAATTAAGAGTTTTTAAAAAAATAAATATAATATATATTTTAATTTTTTAAAAAAATTAAAATTAGCGTAGATGTGACACGTGTCACTTAACGAAGAGAATTAACTGCAATTACGGTTCAGACACCTAAAGTAAAAACGTTTGTAACATTATATACATAAATTATTTAAAAAAAATTGGTCACCTATTTATGAAAAAAGTATAACAAAGATTAAATATGTTATTATATAAAATGATGTAATTATTACATTAATGATTTTAATTTTGATCGATAATTTATTTAATTTTTTGAATAGTATAGTTTAATTAAAATTAAAATCAAATTTATGATTTAATTTATAAAATTTGTTGTCTAGGTTAAAATACAATCTATCACATAATTTAGTAGATTATAGAGTAAGAGGCTTTTTGTTTACTTCAGAATAATTAAACGCTGAATAATTCAAATACTGAATAATTCATAGACTTTGAATGGTTTGACTCTGAATGTGACATGATGTTTGATAACTGGTTCTGAATGATTCAAAATGTACTTCTGTGCTGAATTATTCAACACTGTTTTACTGAATCAGTCAACACTGAATCATTCAGAGATACGAAATAAACACGATTCAACATTCAACGTTAAATAATTCTATTAAGAGACAAACAAACACATGAATTTACCTAAAAAATTTCCCCCAAAATGTGAAACGACAGCGGTAGTTCATCTTCCTTTTACTGAAGTTTCAACCATCGACACCGAAGAGAAGCACTCTTCGATTTTCATTGTCTGCTCAGTTTCAGTTCCAAGAAGCAACCACTTTTCTCAAACCTCCATTAGTTTTTTCATATGCCAAATAGAATCCAAAAGATTCAAGTTATGCTAAATATTTCAGTTCCTATAAAAAATCGCCTTTTCCCTTCCATTTTCTCTCAAGATCTTCCACTTTCTTCTCACCCAAACACCCTTCACCCCTTCACCCCTCCACCACCCCACCACCCTTGTCTACAAAAACCCTTTCCAATCCAATAATCCCCACAGCCAAGACCCATCTTTACGCCTCATTTTTCTGCACTCTAATTCAATTGTACTTAACCCGTGGAAGATATTCACATGCCAAGGAGACATTTTTGAACATGAGGAAACATGGTGTTATTCCCGTTTTGTTCCTGTGGAATCGCCTTATCTATAGTTTCAATGCCTCTGGCTTGGTTTCTGAGGTAATGCTACTTTACTCTGAGATGATAGCCTGTGGGGTTTTGCCTAATGTTTTCACTGTAAATATTTTGGTTCATTCTTTTGTCAAAGTTGGTAATTTGAGCATTTCCTTGGAGTTGCTTAGAAGTTTTGGTGCCAAGAACATTGTTGACACTGTTACTTATAATACTTTGATTTGGGGTTTTTGCGAGCAAGGTTTGGCTCATCATGGTTTCGTTTTTTTGTCTGAAATGGTCAAAAAAGGTATAGCTTTTGATGCTTGTTCCTGCAATATAATTGTGAAGGGATTTTGTGGAATTGGATTGGTTAGATATGGAGAGTGGGTTATGTATAATTTGACCACCGGTGGGATTTGTAAGGATGTTATAGGGTTCAACATATTGATTGATGTATATTGTAAGAGTGGAGATATGAATTATGCAGTCGATTTGATGGATAGGATGAGAATGGAAGGTTTGGTTCCTGATATCATTAGTTATAATACTTTGATAAATGGATTTTGTAAAAGAGGTGATTTCTTTATGGCTAAAACTTTAATACATGAGATTTTGGAGTCTCGTAGGAAGAGTGACTTTAAGATTTTGGGTAGTAATGGTAATCAAAAGGAGATAGATAACGGTGTGGTATTGGAACCGAACATTATTACGCACACCACGCTTATAAGTGCCTATTGTAAGCAAGAAGGGCTTGAAGGAGCACTTTCTCTGTATGAAGAAATGGTTGCTAATGGGATTTTGCCTGATGTTATTACTTATAGTTCAATCATAAATGGCCTCTGCAAGCATGGGAAGTTAGCTGAAGCGAAAATGCTTATGATGGAGATGGAGAAGATGGGTGTGGATCCCAATCATGTCTCGTATGCTACTCTTATCCACAGTTTCTTCAAAGAAGGGAATTCTATGGATACTTTTTCCCTTCAAAGTCTCATGGTTGTTCGTGGCATTGTCTTTGACGTTGTTGTGTACACTATACTGATGGATGGACTTTTTAAGGCTGGGAAGCCAAAAGAGGCAGAAAGCATTTTTATTACTCTTTTAAAGCACAAATTGGTGCCTAATCCGATCACCTATTCAGCTTTGATTGATGGTCGTTGCAAATTGGGAAATATAACTGGTGCGGAATCTGCATTGGAAGAAATGAAGGAAAAAAATGTTGTTCCTAATGTCGTGACTTATTCTTCTATCATAAACAGCTATGTCAGGAAAGGAATGCTTGATGATGCTTTTAACATTATGGGGAAGATGGTAGGCGAAAATATCTTACCAAATGTATATATTTATGCTGCACTAATTGATGGATATTTCAAGGCAGGTAAAGAAACAGTCGCTCTTGATCTCTATAACGAAATGAATTAATAGGGTTAGAGGAAAACACTTTTGTACTAGATGCTTTTGTGAACAACTTGAAAAGATCTGGAAGGATGTGTGAAGCGGTTGAATTAGCTAAAGATATGATGTCTAGGGGTTTGTCACTTGATCATGTAAACTATGCATCTTTGATGGATGGTTTTTTCAAAGAGGGAAAGGAGTCGGCTGCTCTTACCTTGGCCCAGGAAATGACAGAGAAAAATATACCGTTTGATGTTGTTGCATACAATGTCTTAATTAATGGTCTTTTGAAGGTTGGTAAATACGAGGCACAATCTGTTTATGCCAGGATGAGAGAGTTGGATCTGTCCCCGGACCTCATTACATGCAACACGATGATTAACGCATACTGTAAAGAGAGTAAGTTTGCACATGCGTTAAAACTCTGGGATGACATGCAAAATTGTGGGTTAAAGCCAAATTACATCACTTGTAACATTCTCATCAGAGGTCTTTGTAAAGCTGGTGAAATTGATAAAGCTATGAATGTATTGAATGAGATGCGGATTTTAGGCCTTTCACCTACCATTGCCATTCACAGATTTCTGCTTGATGCATCCTCAAGGAATGGAAGGGCCGATGACATTCTGCTAATGCATGAACATCTTGTTTCTGCAGGGCTTGAACTTAACCAGGCAGTTTTCAACACTCTCATCACCGTCTTATGCAGACTAGGGATGACACTGAAAGCTGTTTCTGTTTTAGAAGATATGACAAGAAGAGGCTTTTCAGCTGACACAGTAACTTACAATGCGCTTATACATGGATATTGCACAGGCAGCCATGTAAAGAAGGCTTTTGCTGTATATTCTCAGATGTTACCGAATGGAGTTACACCAAATATTGTCACTTACAATATCCTTCTGAACGGTCTCTCGACTGCTGGTTTGATGAAAGAAGCAGATGAATTATTTCACTTAATGAAGGAAAAAGGTTTGAATCCTAATGCTTCAACATATGATACATTGATATCTGGGCATGGTAAGATTGGAAATAATAGGGAATCCGTGAAAGTTTATTGTGAAATGATTGCCAAAGGATTTGTTCCAACAACTGGCACCTACAACGTGCTTATCAATGGTTTTTCTAAGGTAGAAAAAATGGTCCAAGCTCGAGAGCTTCTTAAGGAGATGCAATTAAGGGGATCGTCGCCTAATTCCTCGACTTATGACATACTAATCTCTGGTTGGTGTGACCTCTCTAATCAGCCAGAGCTGGACAGGGCCTCCAAAGTGTCGTGCCTAGCTGAGGTGAAAAAATTACTTTCGGAAATGAATGATAAACGGCTTATACCAAGTGAAACTACGGTTTACAATATCAATCGTCTCTTTGCAAAGAGACGAAAGAAATTTGGTGCTCAGCAATTTTCGAAGGGACTATTCAAGAGGAACAACATATAAGGAATAAATGGAACATAAAAAGAGAAGGACTCCAACACGAATAGCCGACCTTGCTGATTTCATTAGCTCTTCCTTGGGAAACCGGGCTTCACTTCTTTGTGCATGGTATGTTCTCACGGCATTCATAATGGCATTTAGATGCTTCCATACTGATAAAGCAGTGATGCTGGCGATGAAAGCTATTCTTAATTTCTTTAACTGTGAAAATGCAGCATGTAGGCTATAAGAATCAAGAAGGATTAAACCAAAGTCATGGATGCATGCATTTTGTTTAATTAAACCTTTCCTACATTCTTCACAGTTGATTTCCATTTGAACAGATTGTGATGAGAAGAGCAAAGCATTGGCGGTCTGTTTCAGGTTCAGGCAATCAGGGTTCAGAAGTAAGATTCCAATGCTTCATTTTTCTGATGCATTAGCAGAGATGACATTCCTTTGGAGAACAGCACCAATCTTCAGTAATAAGCATGCACGCAATTAGTGACACTTTGGCCTCTGTTAGCATTGCCATTGCCACAATTGCTAATGTGGCATATTGTATGATACTTCGGAGAACAGCACCGAATCTCCTCGTTGAGCATTGTTGTTGCCCCACAACTTGGGGTTCAAAATTGTATTTTATTGAAAATGAAAATAATTACAGTGTTTTTACTTTTACTGAGGTTATATCTTCGCTCCACTCTCCTCTCCTCTCCTCTTTAATTCATTCCAGCATATTATACATATAAAACAAAACATCTTTACCAAGTTGTATTAGGTTAAAAAATAATTATGATTAAAGTTTCCTACTTTTGAGATTGTATTAGATTCGTCACTATATAGTATTTAAAGTATTCAAATGTAAAATTATTTTAAAAGTTAATTGCATTATACACCCTTAAATTATAATTGTTATTTTGAATCGATATTTATACTTTAAAACACTTTATCTCTAAAATATCACATTTATTCTAAATTGATCTTTAAACTTTTGAACATTTCAATTCCATCCTCAAACTATCCATATCTCCTATTAAAAAATTATAATTTTCATATAAACACTAATGTGTATTATGTAATAATATGATACGGCATAAACAATCATTAAGGTTGGGTTTAAATAAAATAATGATTTAACTTTGAAACCTAGAAAAGACTAGAGACAAATTGAGAGAACAAAAAAGGAACCCTTCAGTTTCATTCTAAATAATGATTACGAGGAATATGATACAACATTAATTGTCATTTATATCACATCATATTACAACATAATACACTTCAGTGTTTACATAATAGTCCATATATTTTTTTAATGATTTTACTAACATGGGATGCGATTAGCATATATAGTAGCTTAGGGATGAAATTAAAATGTCCAAAAATTTAGAAACCAATTTTGATTTTGAGATAAAATTAGAATGGTTAAAACTTTATGGATCAATTTAAGATGAGTCTCGTTATTTAGGGATGTTTAGTGGAGTTGACCCTTATTCATTAAAAATATTAAAATATGCATTCTCGTAGCAGAATCATAAATATTAAAATATGCATTCTCATACCAGATGGATAAGGTAGGGTTCTTGGTTTGAATGCAAATTTCTGGTAACCTTAAAAAAGTCCCCATCTGATTTAGCCAATTCAACCACCATCAAGATTTGTGCCATGGCACTGCTGCCACTGCCACTCGCTTCTCCGGTGTTCACCGTCCGTCGGCACAAACCAGAGCTTGTCGTCCCAGCTAGGCCGACCCCTCGTGAGTGTCTATTGCTCTCGGACATCGATAACCAACAAGGTCTCCGGTACCAAATGCCCGGTGTCCATTTTTATCGCCAAAACCCCTCCATGGAAGGCAAGGACCCTGCTCAGGTTATAAGGAAAGCACTCGCTCAAGCTCTGGTCTTTTATTATCCATTTGCAGGGAGGCTAAGGGAAGCACCAAACGGCAAGCTTATGGTGGATTGTAATGCACAAGGTGTGCTGTTTATCGAAGCCGATGTCGATGTTACGTTCGAGGATTTTGGTGGTGCAATTTGTCCACCATTTCCATGTTTTGAGGAGCTTCTTTATGATGTTCCTGGCTCCAGTGGGCTTGTAAATTGCCCATTGCTGCTAATCCAGGTAATTTGTTTTCTAATTGTAGTCTCCAATTTTAAGCAAGTTATCTAAAGAAAACAATGCCTTACTTTTATTAGCTATTAAGAAGATTGAAAGAATTGTTATTGGTAGGACAAAGTTTTATTAGCCATCCAATAGGCTTCCTCTCTCATTTCATCATCTCCATTATTTTCTTTTTCAGTCGTGGTCGCGTTTTCGATCATTTTGAGTTTACCGTGATTGTGGCCGTCGCGAGCACTATTACGGCCGTTACGGGTGCTATTGCGGGTGTAGCACATAACTCGGACGGCACCGATGTTTTCGGACCTTGATTTGAAACCCTGCTTGCATTATTAAGAAATATTCTAATCTCCACAAAGAATACTTTACAGTTGTTTTCGTTTTTAGGATAAACTACTTGTAGAGCTACTGAACTATAGGGAATGTTCTGTTTTAACTACTGAAAAAAAAACTAGTCAATTAGGTCAATAACTATTAATATATTTTCAATCAAGTCACTGGACGATAGTTTTTTAAAGTAATTAATGACGTGATAGTTCAATAGATTTATATAGTTATACATTTGATCCTTGTTTCACCACTGAAACAAGTTTACAATCGGGTTGTCCCTTTGTGTTGGTATAGTCTTCATCCGCACAATTAACACTGGAGTTGCAGTTATTCATTACGTAAGAAATAAATATTTAGAAAATAATGTTCAGTCACCTTTGATTTTTTATTTTTTTTATAGGTAACAAGACTCAAATGTGGTGGTTTCATTTTTGCTCACCGAGTGAATCATACCATTGTCGATGCTATGGGCGTATCTCAGTTGATGCATGCCATGACAGAGATTGCTCAAGGTGCACTTACTCCTTCAATCCCACCAGTTTGGGAAAGACACCTTCTTAGTGCTCGAGACCCACCGGTCATAACTTGCGTGCAGCATGCCTACGGTGATGCTCCGTCCGTCGACGCCAACTGCGACAATGTCTTTTCAATCGATGGCCTTGTTCATCGCTCACTTTTTTTCGGACCAACTCATATTTCAGCTCTTTGGAGATTTATCCCCGACAACGTTCGGTGTTCGACGTTCGATATCTTAACTGCATGCTTATGGCGTTGTCGAACGAGAGCCTTTCGATATAACCCCGACCAAGACATTCGCGTCATCCTCATAGTTAACGCTCGATCCAAGTTTAACCCGCCCTTGCCATTAGGATATTACGGGAATGCAATCGGATACGCAGCGGCTCTAACAACCGCGGGAAAGCTATGTCGAAATCCAGTAGAATATGCAGTGAAATTAGTGAAAGAAGCAAAGGCAACGATAACCGAGGAATATATGAAATCAATGATCGATTTGCTGGTGATTAAAGATGGACCAACGCTCTGCCCTCCATTGTGGTTAGTATCAGATTTAAGACGAGCCAGAATAGAAGAGGTGGATTTTGGATGGGGCAAGGAAGCTCACATGGCGCCGGCCATAATGTCGGAGTTTTTGAACTTTTATATACCCTACAGAGATGGGGTTTTGGTGCCAGTTTCATTAGCGGCTCCGGTGATGGAAATCTTTGTTAAGGAGCTGGATGGCTTGTTGAACTTCAAGGACGAGGCAGACAGTGTTTGCTGAATTTTTATGACAAACGTGAATTTGAAATGATCAGAACTTGTGTTCAGAAATGTTTTCCCACAAATCTCGATTGCATTATACCGATGACCAGACCTTTTCCTATAGGTCTCGAGTGTATTATGCCAGTTATTTATTATATTTGCTTCATTGGGCAATGACCAATCCTTTTCCTACACGACTTAATTGTAGTGTACTGCTTGGCTTTACTAATATTTTCTAAATTAACTACGAATATACAATATTAATTGATCGACTAATCTAGATCAGGTTTTACAAAGATTCAATATGAGGTGACCCTCCCAACTCAGCTTGCTTCATTCATAATTTTCAGGGTTCGAACCCCTGACATTAATTAAGAAATCTAGTGTCTCATCCAACTAAATCAACGGATTGTATCTCCCATATGTACAAAAAATAAGAGTAAATTACATTGATGGTCCTTATTGTTTTTAGTTTGCCTTATTTGATCATTGGTATTGAAAAATTTCGCTTTTTTGTGATTTTACTTTCGATTTGTTGTAGTCACTGAACATTTAAATCCCTTTAATTTGATGACGTAACATATTAATAAAATATTTAAACTTTAATGTGACCCATCAATTTTAGTCAAAATACTAATTTGACCTAGAATTTTAGATAGAATATTAATTTAATCCTTGAAATTTTGCTAAAATATCAATTTGACCCTTGAATCTGATGAAAGTCCCCCACTATCGGCCATTGCTCACCATCAATTGTTGCTACTAGTTATCATTGATCATCGTCGTCGATGTTTGTTGGACTCCTAAAATTTCTAGTACACTTATTTTTAATTGTCTGAATATGGATTTTGTATTCATTTTATCAAAAAAAATTCTAACTTCACAAATCTAATCTAGGACTCTTTAATTCTTTTAAAAATAAACCATAATAATATATTTATCACTTTATTCTTTTAAAAATTAAAAAACAAGATTCTAACTCTATATCGTAATATGTTTATATTATAGTGATAATAATTTAATTTATGTAAATATTGATAAATTGTATGTAATTTTTATTTTCATTTCCCCTATATTTTATGTGTTGTATAAGGTAATTGTACTCACTCCTGATTCATAAAACCTTCAATCACGCTTGCCGAAAATTAGGTAATTTAACTAATTTGAGGACCTCACTCTCGTGATGTGTAGGGACCTATCGTCACTAGAACACAACTTTAATAATTATTAATAACTAAGGAAAATTCTAGAATACATGTCGTTGTAATTCACCACTAATTTTATAGAGTAAAATTTACAAATGGTCATTAAACTATGTCAATATTATCTTTTTGAACATTTAACTTTTAAAAGCTACATAATGAATATTAAATTTTAATTTTATTACCAAATGGGCACAAAACCATTAAGAAATATCTCATTTGACCATTCAATTATAACTAAAAAATTAATTTTACTCTTAATTTTAATTGAAATAATTCTTAGAAGTTTCGTTGAATTGAAAATAAATTCCATTCTTGGGCAACCACCTATGTCTCCTTTTAAAGCCATTGCCCCACGTTAAGGTCCTTCTTCTGTCCCTTCGTGAAAGATATGGTCCTCTTTATACCCTGTATATAGGCTCAAAGCCCTTAATCGCTATTGCAAGTCATTCCCTTGCTCGCCAAGCCTTGATTTCTAACGCCGCCATCTTCGCTGACCGTCCCCAAGCGACGGCCACGGACAAATTCCTCAGCTGTGATCAACACAACATCAGCTCGGCATTCTACTGTCCTACATGGCTCCGCCTCCGCCGTAATCTTACTTCCAACATCATTACTTCTTCACCGATTACAACCTTCGCATGTGCCCGTAAATGGGTCTTGGATTCACTCATCGACCGTCTTAAGTCTAACGAATATCATCATCACATTGAAGTAAGGGAGCATCTACAACATGCACTCTTCAGTTTGTTTTCTTTCATTTGCTTTGGCGAGAAGCTTGAAGACAAGAAAATTGAAGAAATCAAGAACACGCTGCGACGCTTGCAGTCGAGTTTTGATCGATTCAAACTACTCAATCTATTTCCTATTTGGGGGAAGTTCTTCTTCCGCAGGCGATGGGAAGAGCTTCGTCGGCTTCGGCGATATCAGGAGAAAGTATTGGTCCCTTTGATAAGAGCCTGAAAGGCAATGAGCGAAAAAAACATGAAAGTGATGAACATGGTGTGGAGCCTGTCGTCCCCTACGTCCACACATTGTTTGATGTACACCTTATAGAGGAAAAGAGAAAGCTTGAAGAACAAGAAATCGTGACATTGTGCTCTGAGTTCTTCACTGCCGGCACTGATACTACCTCCACAGCTCTAGAATTGATAATGGCTAATTTGGTGAAGCACCCACAAATTCAACACAAGTTATTCGAGGAAATCAAAGGAATTATCTCAGAAGGAGAAGTGGAGATTAAGGATGAACATTTGGGTATGACGCCATATCTTAGAGCTGTTATCTTAGAAAGTTTAAGGCTTCATCCTCCGACCCATTTCTTAATCCCACGTTGTGTAACCAAGGATGTTGTTCTGGGTGGATTTTTGGTGCCAAAGAACACCGTTGTAATGTTTGTCGAATCGGAAATGGGTCAGAGTCGGGACGTATGGGAAAATCCGATGGAATTCGACCCCGATGGATTCATGAGCGACAGTGATGGAAGAAAATAAATTGATTTTAGTGGAACGAAAGAGATTAAGATGATGCCATTTGGGGTAGGGACAAGGATGTGTCCAGCATATAGACTTGCAATGCTTCATTTGGAGTACTTGTTGGCAAACTTAATCTGTCATTTCAAATTTGAGTGTGGAAATGAAGACATGATTTGACCGAGAAACATGAATTCACGACCGTCATGCAGAATCCTTTGCAGGTGCAATTCATTCCTTGATTATGACTCCACCGAATTTTTTAAGCTTTAATTTTGGTATTTGCGGTTTCTTTTATATTTCATATTGAGATGTTTTTATACTATGGAAATGAAAGGTTTATTATTGAAAATTTCTAATATCAATATGAATTAATCTTTAACCAATAAATCTGTAAAATAAGAAAATTAAAAAGAGGAGTTTAAAATAATTAAGTAAACTAAATAAAGAAAATAAAACTAAAGTAAAAACAATAGAAATAAGAAAGAATAAATGTAGAAATTTAATTAAGATAAGAGATAACATCTAGCTTCGTTTCGCCTCAATCTATCTCGATCACTGAAATAGATTTTATTTCGGATGCTTGCTGGTTACAACCTACATAGACCAACTCTTGTAACTTAGTCTTCTCTCTATTGAACTAATTTCCAAAGTCAATCCTTGAAAATTAGCCCTTGTTTGAATTAATATCAACTATCGATATTAACACCAATGTTGGTTTAGGAACTAGAAAAGCCAGCGCTCAGATTATGGTGTCTTTATGAAAATCGAACCCTATCTTAATTTCCTTTAGCAGACCGCCGCTAAATTTGTTTTTAAGAAATTGAATTTGCTACAAGCCGACTCTCCTCCCCAACTATAGATCACTACGTCGATCAAACTAATGTGCTCTATACACTCCTTGGATTGAAGATATTGAGATGTTGAAGAAAGGTCGTTTCCCTCTCTTTGTTTGCAGAGAAAATCAAGAAAGAAATATGAAGATGTTACATACCTTTTCAATTCTCATGAGATTGGATTGAGTTGTTGCTCAACTATTAACTAACGAAAAGTTTAGCCAAGCATGATAGAAATCATATTTGGCGTGTAGAAAGAAAGAAGATGAAAAAGAAAAATAATTTTATTAAACTCAAAACCTAAAAACAAAAGAAAAGCCAAAATCATGTTCTATACTGAATTCTAAACTTGTACATCTCTCAAACGTCACCGCTAGAGGTATTATAGTCTTGAGTTAATCTAATGAAAATAAAATACCAACTCTCAAAATATTCAAAATCTTAATTCTAACAAACTAAAAATCCTAAATAATACATATTAAAAATATTAAATTCCTAATAAAATAATAAAATATCAAATGTTTGAATTCAATTACAACTTTTAAATTCCTAAAGAATTATGGTTCACCTGACTTTCCTCCTTTGATCTTGCTACTTGGAATATTTAATTAGAGTTTGTGCTTGGATCGAACTTTGAATCTGATTGGCACCGATTTTTCCTAAATAAATAGGAAAATATGTTTAATTCATCTTTTAGTTATTATTTCCTGAAAAATAGTCTTGCACATATTCAAATAAAAACAACCCAAATTAGCACTATAAGAAAAGGTAACACGACTTAACTAATAACAAAATATTAACCAAATAAAACACTCATCAAACACGGTTAATGGGACACTTTTAAGGTCAAGATTTAAACGTGTGTGATACATTTATATTTGTGGCTAAGTATTTATCGGAACTTTATCCATGTATATGTAGTTTAACATGGAATTTTAATATGTTCGTAAATGAGAAATTAATCCCAAAGAAGCTTTTAATGGGAACGTTTCAGAATCGAATAATTCCATATAATTTGATGAAATAAACTAAGTTTGTCTTGTGACTTGATCTGTGTTTCAATGTTTAGATTCAATTAAATGTACACTTATTCATTTAATCCTGATCGTAATACATACCACAATATGTTAATGATGGTACGTCAATTCAAAAGTTAAGTACATGTATACATTAATTAAGATTCATGTATTACATATATTCGTGCATGGGTGATCAATGTCTAGAGCTTACACGATGGGAGAGGGGTTGTGCCTCTTAACTCTTTTAGTATTATGATATTTTAAGTCTAATTCAATAAAAGAAACCTTTTTATTTCTTTTTAACTTTTAAATTTTAATATTTAAGAAGTCTTGTATTGAACAAATGCTTAATTTGGGTTGGTATTCCATCACACCGTTGCTTAATTTAGCATCCATATTGAAATGATGAACTTTTAATACATGCTCGATTATCGTCGCTCCATTATTATTTTCTAAAAGGAAAGTAATGATCTTATTAACAGATTTAAATAAATCAAATTTGCATCTGCATTAATTTTCAGCCCAAAAAATATGCAAAACAAACGCAAAAACTCGAACATTACCATATAATTTAGAACAAGGAAGAAGAAGAAGACAAGCAACTCTCGATAATGTTTTTTGTTCCCAAGAACATGAAAATTACTAACTTATCTATCTAACCAAAAAAAAAACACAGAAAGCTTAACCATGTTTACCAAATCATATATAAACGAGCTAGACTCTTAGACCATCTTTGGCCGAAGCCGAACCATGAGCATCGGTGTGGTCATTGTGCCTCCCCGATGGACCTGACGGAGGAATGGGAACACCTTTGGTGAGCAGACTGAAGGAAGCTTTGTTGAAGTTCATCGCCTTATCGTTGTTATTCACGAGGCTTAAGTCATGGGTTCTGTACAGAGCTGCATTGCTTAAAGGGCACAGAAACAAAATAAAAATGCTTAAAATAATCCGTCTGGTAGCCATCCAAAAGAAGGGAATTGTGGGGTTTGTTGGGTTTTGTATAATCAAAATGCCTCGAGAGAGTTCAATTAAGATTGATTTTGATTAAAGGATGGAAATCGTATATATAGATGCACAGTGTATATATTATTTGTATGAAAAGCAAAGTAATGTGAGAGGCTCTGCATAAACTGGGATGTGTTGGAAAATGTCAAAGATAAAAGTTGTAGAGTAACCGATGCTTAAAGAGAAAGAAAAAGATATATATATATTTATTATAGTTTGGTAAGTTAGTGGTTTATATAATAAAATTAAGATGTCTTCGTATTTTAATACTTTATTCATAATTTTTATATATTATTTTTATTATAAATTTAAAATATTTTTTTTATATATTCGAGTAAATATGTATGCATATTAATATCTTATGTTATTTTCTATGCAAAAATATATATCTTATATTATTTTGGTTTGGGTTTGAAGGTGAGGTAACAAGAGAGAAATTGTATTGCATGCAAGGTTGGAGGCAGGCATCAAACCCAAACCCTGTGTCGAGCCTTAGTTTGGGGAAACACATTATAGTTTTGTTACCTCACTTGGACATGTATGAAAACATGTATAAATATAGGTATAACTTCAATATGAAAAAAAAATACAGCAAAATATAGGTATAACTTCAATATGAACAAAACATTACATCAAAGTATAGGTGTAACAACGTTATTTTCATCTAAAATTTTAGAGGTTATTTTATTTTCTAACATATCATTTTTATAATAAGTGTAATACTATTTTATAATATACATGGATCATTTCATAACATTTTTATTAGTTTAGTGATAATTTTATAATTTTTAAAAATTAGGTACTAAAAAAATACCATTTCAGTATAGTTTAATGTCTATTTGTGTACTTTATCTATTAGTTAAATTGACGTACAGACACAGTTTTTCTGCATAATAGAGAACTTAAACTGTAATTTAACCTTTCATTTTCCACAACCATTAAAAACTAAAAAAATAAAGGTTTAAATATAAAATAAGTGTCCAAACTATACCGCTTCTCACAAGTAGATACCTAAAATATTTTTTGAATGATTCAGGTGCCTAACGTTATAAACGTTACCGTTTTAGGTGCTCGAGTCGTAACATCAATTAGTTTATGTCATTAAAAGACACGTGTCGAGCTCTAGTAATTTTGAAATTTTTATTTAAATTAGAAACTTAAAAATATAATTTTATTTTAAAAAATCCAAAACTTTTGAAAATCTTAAAAAAACCTAAACTTTGAAAAACTTTATTCCAATTCCTATACCCAAGTCTGTCACCTCCGTTCCGCACCATTCCCGTCAACGAACCTCCAGTCGACCAAACCGCCATCGATGACCCAGCCACCCTAATTGATGATTTAAACTCAATGAACCCGAAACCAAAAATCGCGAAGTTGAAGCACTCGCTGGTTCCAACGGCAACCATGACGATATGGGCAAGGACGACTGACAATGGCAACGACAAGGACAATGTCGACGGCAGCCACGGCCGATAAGGGAGGTTAGGGTTAGGGTTATGAATTTGTGATTTTTTTGTACTTTTTGAAAAAAATAAGGTTTTTTATAAATATAATTTTTTTAAAAAAAAATCAAAATTATCAGAGCGTGACACATGTAACTTAATGGATTTTTAACGGCGGGAGACCAAAACGTATCTCTAGGTATGATTTAAAAAAAAATAATAGTTGGGTGGCCAAAACGGAACAAAACTTATAATTGGGTACTAAATATGTAGTCTACCATAAATTAAAAGTAGATAATAATTAAATGTTGAATTGATTCATGTAATTACGTAATTTTTATACTCAAACCGGTGTCGGGTTTGAATTGGAAGATACTACAAATTAGTTGAATTTGTCAAAGAGGGGGAGGTAGACGTTTCTGATATCAAAATCTGTTTTTGAAAAGTTTTCAAATAACAGAACCCCCCACAAAATGAGGAACTAGTATCCGTGTTGTTGCTGTTGAACCTTTGTTTTAACTTTTTCTTTCAACCCTTTCTCAACAAATGAAAATTTTTCCCTTCAAACTAACTCTTATTCTTCCTCTCTTACTGCTCTCACTATCTTCTTCAAGTAAGAATATTTCTTCGTGTGTTTTAATCCTGTCTTTCTCATATCCATGTTTCGTTTTCTGTTTTCTTATGTGGCTGTCTCTTTGGAACTTCATGCGTAGCTG